TAAATGGATAACCGAAGAAAAATAAGAAAACGAGGCCTCTATACTTCATAGGAATATAAATTCATCTACAACGTTTACTTTAAAATGATCTGTACCGTTCATGCTCACTCCGTTTTTTGCTTTTTGTAATCCCCTTTCTTCTTTCAATTCCATATGCTTTTCTTTAAATTTCTGTAATCCGTCGCTGATGGCTTCAACGATTACTACCTCACCCATTTGAAAGTTGATTAAACTGAGGCCAAGGCCAAACACTTCAGCTCCCATTGGTCTGTCATCACTCTTCCTATTCTAAAAATCTTATTTTCTTCTTTAAGATTAATCATTCAAGAGTTGATTTCTTCTCTTTATTTCTTCTTTTCAGATTCTCCACATAGTACTTGGCTTCTCAGCTTCTCCAGACATCGGTGATCTATATCCTTTCGTCGCTCTGCCGAAATGAAACAACACTGCCTCTTCATCGGTTATCTTCGCACCAGCCGCCCATTTCCTTCGGAAGGTAATTATCTGAATTTAGTCCAGGAGCAGTCCAATTAATTTTTCTCTTCTCCAGACAGTACTTAGCTTCTCAGCTTCTCCAGATATCGGCAATCTACATCTTTCTGTCACTGCTAGGGGCTCAACGAGAAGAATGGTCAGGCGGTTGCAAGAATGAAACATCACTGCCACTACATCGGCTACCTTTGCACCCTCAGCTCTATACTGGCTTTATCGAGTTCCCTGTATATCTCAAAGGCGCCCATTTCCGTTGAAAGGTAATTATCTGAATTCAATCCAGGGGCAGTCCAATTATGACAGGCTTTTTAATTTTAAAGATGATTAATAAAAATAAGATAAAATCGAATTTCAATTTTAAAGATGAATAATAAAAAATAGTTTCTCGAATCATGAGATATTACTATATAATTTAAACTGCACAAAGAGTCCTATTTCTTCATCTCTCTTATAGTAGTTACTTTTTATTTCTCTTTTAATAATTAAAACTGAAAAAGAGTCCAAGTCTTCATCTCTCTTTTAGAGTCCTGAGCCATGATCTTTCTTTTAGTAATATAATTATCTCTTTACCAATTTTAAATATCGTTGTTTGAGTTCTTCTTATTTGTTTTGGATTTATGGTGCATTTTAGTGAATTTGAAGTTGTTGAGGTTGAGCCTTAAAAGTGACCTTATGTTTGTATAAGATTGCATCTTTCATCTCTTCCTTTCTTTTAGAGTGATTGTCATACCGAGAGTGTGCGCATCTCTATATATATGGGATTAACCAAGCTTGATTCTTCCCAAAAAAATAAATGTTAAATAAATAACAGAATTTGGATCTAAGATATTTCTTTATTAAATTTCTGTTTAAGTCCATTTATATACACATGCTTTTCCTCCTAATTCCTAAACCATATAGCACTCACAGTAAGATTGACTAGGCAAATCCATTTAGAGTGAATCAACAACAAATACCCCACACCGATTTTCTCTTCATTAAAGTCATTTTTACTAGAGTTAGGGTTTTGGATATCATTCAAAACCTGAACTTTTACAATTTGTATGCACTCATACTAACTTATCATACACTTTTGTTTTGCCATTTAGGTTTACTTATTTCAATGTTAGTGTGACATTTGGATTCAAGCTCTTTGATGATTAATTTTTGTAGTTTTCGGGGCCTGAAGTTTTTATGGCGATCATGAGTTTGCTTATGATTCACTTTGTCACCCAAATTCTCTTCCCCTATTTACTTCTGACATAGATTAGTTAAAATCTCTCTTATTTCATTATTTTACACCATCTTTAAAAATTATGGAAGCCATTTTGTCCGAGTCAATATATACCAAGAGAAAATGCAGTTTATTCATTTTCTTATCTTTTTGGGCTATGGTCTTAAAATATAACAAGAGCAACAAGAGAAAATGTAGTTTATTTCCCTTTAATTAACTGTATAGCACATTTAGAAGAAAAGGCGGACTCCTCTCTCATACTGTCAAAAACTAAAACCTATTATTGACAGATTACAACGTGCATAGCGTGCCAAATTGAATGTAATGAAACTGATTTCTCTCTAAATTCTACCTTACGCAAGAGTAAAAAAATTATTTTTTCATTCTGTTCATGTTTTTGTATTCCACTAGATCTTTTACTAAGCAATTTGGAGTTAGATTTCATCAATTAATATAAATTGTCGTTTAGCTCAAATAAAAATTTGGAAGGAGATATAGACTAATCGTAAAAGGTATACTACTGTTTTTTTTTCTTTTCATGCTTTGAGCAGTGTATTAAGAATGAAAATGTTGAACTATTAACTTCAATATATACAATAATACATTAGATTAACTATGAATTGTGGTGTTTTGGAGTTTGTCAATCTCACAAACTTGTTTGTTTGTTTCGTGCTGTTTTATTTGACCAACATTCAAACGAATGTTACTGCTCTTATACCTTATAGTTATGGTAACTATGGATGTCCTATTAATAATTTAATAATGTTTTTCTATTAAAATGATGGATGTACAGATGGAAAGAAGGGTGATAAACATGCAGCTACACCACATACTTCAAACAAAACTGGGAAGACAATTGTTGCTATTCAGAAGACTCCAAAATTAGGAGGTTCTCATCAATGCAAACACTGCAATAGGTAAAAACATAAAGGACTCCCCTAAATCCGAGCTCTTTTGACATGCCTTAATTAACTATCATGACTGAGGCACTTATACTGTCATTGTGTTTTGCTTTAGGGCTTTTGGCTCTGAAAATGGTCTGGGTTCCCACTCAAAAGACAAGCATAATGCCGGAAAGTAAATTTGAACCCACCCAATAACAGGAGTATTTATAGGTAGTTAAATAGCTTTCTTTGTTGTTGAGGCTATAATGTTACTGGAGAGAAGCGGTTTAGTATGTTTTGGATCAATTTTTTTTGATTTTGTTCTGCTTTGGCGGAGCAACTCCCTTATAAATAGGGTTCTTAATTCACCTACATTTGATACTAAACTTGGTCCATTTGTCACTTTTTTTGTTGAAGTATTGATATTGAGAGCCCATTCGGTGAGCATGTTTTTCGATGTATTAGACTTATAGCTAACTTTTTTACCAAACACGTAACTCTTGATTTTGCGTTAAAAAAAGTTATAGCATTTTAAAAAAAGCATAGGATTTTACAGATGTAGAACCGTAGTGAGTATTTTTCTCCTACTTCGACTTGTGTTGCTACAATCTCCGTTGTTTTACCTAAGCCGCCAAATGAGGTGGTAGTTATCTTAACACTAATTTGCCCCAAACTAATTAGTGTAGGGTTAAAAGTATTCTGGGAAATATTTTTAACCCTAAACTAATTTCGTAAGTATTTTTTCATTTACCAATTATTTTGAGAAAAAACTCATGTTACAATTATTTTTTTCAAGTATTTTTTCGTTTACCATTAGACTCTCCATCACTTTTCAATGCAGATAGTTTCAATTAGTGATTAGGTATGCAATAGCCATTAGTAATGACGAGAACAATTGTTGGAAAAACTAGACTACTTGAGAGTAACAGGTCAATATTAGTTGAAGTTTGTAAAATTGTACTACCTCCGTCCCGCTATGATTGTCCCGTTTTACCTTATCAGTCCGTCCCACTAAGATTGTCCCATACCAAATTTGGTAAAGTTTGTGTGGCTCTAAATCATTCTTACTTTATTCTTACTTTATCAATTCAATATCAACCACATAAACCACTGTTTATTGATTTGCGTGTCACTCCCTCTTGTCCCATTGTTAGCGGGACGGAGGGAGTAATATATAAATGAAGATGGACTGGAATACCGGATGACTAACCACGCTTGCCTTGAATGTTATATACAAAAAGGCTTATAATAATTTGTAGGTTTTCTTGACAACTTAAAATATTTGATTTGTGCCATTTACATCTTTTTTTGCTATTACATTAGATTTTGTTGAAATATGGATTTAATGTTTTCCATTATCTAATATATTCCATTAGTGGAATTATTTTCAAGTTTTTTTTTAATATATTATTATCTAATATATTCCATTAGTGGAATTATTATCAAGTTTTTTGGTACGGGACGAGACAAAGTGCTACATATATTTAGAACAATATCAATACCTTAATTTTTAAATGAATCGTAATTTGGGACAAACAAATCGTTTAAGTCTTTAAGAGAACCGTCTCGTACTCTGATCCTGATCCGGCTTTGAGTCCACACTTAGCCCCCCTCTCCCAACCTTATTTTAGAAAAGTTATCCGGTTTGTTTGATTTGATTTATTATACAAGAGTACAAGACCACTAAATTTAAAGATACTAAATAAAAAAAATGACAAGTCATATCTATGAGTCTTATCTTATATCATTGTTAGTATTATACGGTTCGTGAATAATACAATAATACGTACGTTCATGTATAATACGATACAATTATATAAAATACGGCCAAATATATGTTTCATACGTTCGTGAAATGAATAAAGATACGAACGTGTTTTAAACGTTTCACAATTTAAAAGTACGGCATATAATACATGTCTTATATACTAATTTAATGATGAAAATAAAGAGTGATTTAGCATATGCATTACATTCTTCAACAGTTTAAAATGTACGGAATAGTTTTTCAGATATACGAATCTTAATTCATAGGTACAATAAATAATAAAAATGATATTGCCTATTTGTGTAGAAGTAGAGACATATTTCTAGAGAATAGTTTATATTATTGTGACCGTAAATTTGGTGAGCCGCCATAATATTCTCTTCTTTTTAGAGTTTTGGTATGAGTGGAGAATAAGAGTAACAAAATAATAGTACAATAGTAATATAAAAACAAATTATGACTTTAAGAAGCTAATTTCTTAAATCTAATGACTATTAAAAAATTAACGAACGTGTAAGATATACTAATTTTTTAAGCATTATAAATAGTATTGAGCAGCTAAACATTTCACTTCATTTGTACGTATTTTTTAATAAAATACGTACGATACGTGTATTATACATTTTATCCTTAAAGTACGTGAATTTTTAAGTATTTTCTGAAAAATTCATAAACGGGAGTATTATACACGAATTATACGTTTGAGTGTATTATACGTGAATTATACGCGAATAAACTAACAGAGTAGACTTATACTAGTATTTTTTCGCATTTTGCCTTATAGACCGACAAATGGAAACTTATTACAAAAATTAAAATGAAAAGTAATACGAAGTATTATCTTTCTTTGCCTTTTCAAAGGCAAAACCAGACTAAAGAATCTAGGTTTCCTAATTGTTTGTTATTCTCCAACTGACATTTTCAAGTTTCAAAGCAAGAATAATGTCGCAACTCTACTGTTCATAACAAACCTTGAATAATCAACGTAGCTGTGAGCCTGTGACATCATTACACCATAAGTTGCAAATTGTTCTCCATTCAGGCTACCATTACAAGAGATACACAAGTGCTCTTTAAAAAAATCAGAGGTCAATACAAATTTAATTCAGATATACCTAAGACTTAGTATTAAAATTGTACAGACGACATTTCAGTAGTAATGACTACATGTATTCAAATAAATCTTCTTCGTTCTGCAAATCCCATGTTACTACTTTACCATCCAGTCCTGTTCAGTTTGAGAGCGTGAACAATCTTACATGACCCGTGTTCTAATAATTTTAGGCCCTAGGCCTTAAAGGTCCGTCAGGAGCCTCCCTCCCATACGGTAGAAAAATAAAACGAGGAAAACAGAGAAAATAAATGACAGATTTGAACCCAATAAATCTGTTTCAAGAATTTCTTTCAAACGCGTTTTATTTGTAAACTATTGGAAAAAGGTATGTGCAGCCAATTTAAGCTTGACTAGCACCATAAAAAAGTGCTGTTTAAAAGGAAAATGAGAAGTAATTTAGTACATACATCAAAGTTTTGTGTGAAAGAAGTGTACCATTGTGAAAAACTGTGCACATATATAGAGAAAAGGTGCACCGTGTTTTGAAATTAGATGTGCATGGCCGAAACATGTGGTGATTGTTCGTAATAACGCACACTAATGCACTCGTGTATATGCAAATAAACTTGTTGTCATCCATATTGCACTTTATAGTTCCACATACTTGCGATTATGTCACCACATATTTTAATGTACAATCGATACATATATAATCCGTCAAGTTTTAAGTGATGAAAGGTCCAGAGCTATTCTTACTATTAGTGGGATTGTGGGAAGAATAGTTTTTCATTTCAACCTCTATATATGTGTGTGTACATGGAGTATAAACTAAAATCTCTACATAGGAATACTCAAGATAAGAATAATCTCTATGTTATAATAAAAATATTTCAGCCCCAAGACTTTGGTCCCAAGGATATTCTTATAGAGCTTATTGAGTATGTCTTTGTGTGTGCATTTATGTTTAAATAAATGTGGAGGTGTAGGGGTGAAACCAAACATGAGAAAAAAAGTACCTTGACAAATTTCCCCTTTTCCTAGTATTTTCCGAGATCCAAATATACCCTAAAAATACCCAGCTAATACCTAGGTGGTATTTTTAGAACAGTGGGAAGAACACATATAAAGACTAACCTGAAGTGCTAAAAAGGGTTACTGCAGAATCCTCAGATTTCTTTAGTGGAATAATGCAACTGAAATTTCCAAAAACAGTGAAACAGGAAGTCAAGATCTTGATTTTACACATCTTTAGCTACATGCCAAGTCAGATGTGTGATGTAAGGAAAATACTTGATGCAGTTTTCATGGATGGTTCGTGATGGCTCAGCCGAGTTGTTGTTTGCTACATGCTTTGATTGGCCGTAAAATATCCCAAATGCTTCTGAAAACTGAAATATGAAGATAAACTTATGAACCCATGATAGGACAATAATTTACTAGGTGTCCGGACACTAAATTATGTGTGGTGGGAAGTCCTGAACAAAAGAAGTTAACAGCCCACTCTGGTAACATTTATCGGTTTATTCTGCCCATCGATTTTACTGCTTTTATGTAAATAAAATCAGCAAATTCCCCTATTTCAACTAAATAAGCTTTACCAAACGGGACCTAGGTAGAAGCATGGAGCAAACCAATTCAAGTACCTGAGATCCATGCTTTGTAGTTGAAGATGTTGGTTTCCTTTCATCTAAGAACCTTAAGAAGCTCCTACATAATACATGATAAAAAAGAGGCAAGTTTACCTTCATCTATAGAAGAAAAATCTTATGCAGAGCATTGCTTCGCACCATGAGATAATGCTCTTGTTTGGGTACTAAACTTTTTTACTTTTCTATGTAGATCCTATTGCATGCTTATCAATTAAACCAGGGTGGAGGCGTGGAGCAATGATGAAATAGAAACGAGAAAAGTGTCAATTCAGTACATGAGTTTGTATCTATGAGAGTAAAGAGTATCCTAATTATTACTCCCTCAGGTCCTAAATAAAGTTCAGTGTTTGACTTCACACAAATTAAGGAAATAAATTTGACTTTACTGTAGAGTACACTATTGTGACACTGTTTGGCACTGTTTAGCACTGTTTTGATGTAGATAATTTGCCAAATAAGGAAGGGAGAAGAAGTGTGAACTTTATTTTGGATCGGACCAAAAAGGAAAGTGCGAACTTTATTTAGGACCAGAGGGAGTATTAGAAATCTTGAAGTATTTATTCTTGGTTATCTGGTGTGGATATAGTACTTCTGTCATCTTAACGTTAAAAACAACTTATGTGGCAAACACTATCCATTTTTATAACATTGGATTCTAGGTTAGCCCCACAACTTAGTCTCTTCCCTGCATATTTCATTCATTTATCAGCTGCAAAGTGCAAACATATCTCTTTCCCCACTCTTCTTCTTCATCAGTTAATGTTCTTATTCCTTTCTCTTATGACTTGTTTTTCTTCCTCTTCTTCTACCTATTTGCTGATTTGTCTCTTTTGTTAATATATTATCCATGGACATCTTCAAGCTTCTTTTGCAATTGAGTCATATATATTAACAAGATCTCTTTGATGCCAAATATATGTTTGTGGTGGATTGAACTAACTTGAAGAAAAAATTGAGAATAGAGCTCTAAGGTCTCGAGGAGCTGTCGTGGTTGTTGCCGGTTTATTGCTGCTACTCTCAACACTATTTTGGGTTTAAGTTTGAAACGAACCAATCAACACTAATAAAATTTATGTGCGAGGCATTCTCTGTACTAGTCCAACTAAGCAATCAAGCAGATTAAAGTTTCTGGTTTCGATAAAATAAAAATCAACACTCCAAAGATTAACCATAAGAATTAAATGTAACTGAATTCTGAAAATTTCAATCTCATAAAAACCCATAGTTACACCTTAACATAAGACCTTATAATACCTCATAATTATCATTCATTCTCCATCATGAGTTCCGGTTCTTGAATGACTTTTGGTACTCCTCTCATTGTTTTCTACAGTACTATCTTCATAGTTCTCATAGTTGGAATCGTTGGGTTAGGGTTTACATATGCTAAAGATTATGATGAAGCTGATGATTTGGACTCGCTTTATACAAATGACCTAAAACGTTAGAGAGGTTACCAAGTTTTAACGGTGCAATAACGTATGTACTCAATGTACACCAACTTACCAAGTATAAGTACCATGTTGTTTCTAATAATAAATAATGTACTCTTTACTCCCTTTGATACAAGTTCATGTTCTAAAGTAACACTTCTCTCAAATAGAAACATAAGCACAAGAACAGAAATTACATGACCAACAAACTAAGGCCCTATTAAACCAGATTTTATATTTTCAGTTTTAAAAGAATAACATACTAAAAACCAGATTATGGAAACCAAAAAGTGTGTGTATAAGTTTTCTATGGGCAGTTTTCAAAACTGATAATTGTATTAAGTGTGGGAAATTTTGGTTTATTATACAATATTACAATGTATAACACGTCCTCCCTTTGTCCCCTTCTTAATCATCACTCTTTGCTTTTAGAATATTCCAAAATTATTTGCTGTGGTTGATAATTTGATATTGTTCCTCTCTTCTGATAAACCTAAGCTACCCACTCTTCACTTTCTTAAAAAATGCCACAAGTCAATAAGGAGTTAAACAAGGGAAGCATTGAGAAACTTTCAAAATCATAAGATAAAAAACTGAAAACTGGCAACACAGGACGGATATTCAACATACCATAAACCTGTTTCGTCGGCAATGAAGACCATTGGATTACAATCAAATCCGACTCCAATTACCATCCGCTCTGAAACAAAAAGTACCTGAAAGATTTGTGTTGATTATGAATACAAAGAATATAATGTGAAGAGACAAAAAAATGAGAGTGGATGCTGACCCACATCGCGAAGAGGCAAATCACGGAATGCTACACTTTGTGCAGAAGGGGAGGGACCAATTTCATCAACAAAGTAAATCATTGAATTATGCCCTGTGGGATCACACTCTCAGCAGTGAATATGCATTACCAATCAAAACTAGCAGCCTAGCATTTTTGTTTGACGAATCCAGTTCTGTTCTTTAAGGGTTTGTTTTGGATCCCGGAAAATACTAGTGACAGAACATAGGAAAGAAAGCAAAGAGGAAAATTGGAAGGAAAGAAAATGTGGAGGAAAATAAAAGATAGGCTAAACCCCAATTAATCTATTTAGATCATTGTTGATACTCATTTTGTTTCATGTTTGTCTTATATCATTTGTCCCCCTCTTTCTCTATCTAATGTTTTTTAACTCTGATATCATATGTCAATTCATGTCAACCGACCCCAAACTCTTTTGGGAACAAGGCTTGGATGTTGTTATTAAAACTCATTTTGTTTATTTATTTATGTCTATCAAATAAAGACCAAGGAATCTAAACATGTGCAAAAAATAAGAAAATAATCATATTTCTTTTTCATTTTCAATAAAAATCAAACATAAAATAACATTCTTTAGCACTTCCTTTCCATAGCATTTTTTGGGATCCAAACATACCCTGAAGAGTTAACACAAGCTTCTGGTTAAACACTTGTCAAGGCAAAGTTCTGAAGTGCATAATTTACTTCAAGAGCAGGTCTATTAGATGGATAGTTGTATCAGATGTTCCAGATTACAATAACTTTTTTGTCTGCATAGACACAGGAAAGAGAAAGGAATCTCTAACCTACATAAGCTAATGTTTTGCCACTTGGAGACCATTTAACACCGAATGACCAGCAAAATGAAAGATCAAGCTGAATGATTTGCTGCATCATTATGAAAAAGTTAAGGACCTAATTCCATTAGTAGACACTAAATCATACTAAAACATAAACATTTCAGTGAACCAGGTGTTGGAAACAAAAGGAATTAAATACTTCAATGATTATTGTAAACTATCTTTCTGGAATATAGTTTCTGATAGAGAGCGGGAAGAGCATGGGGCGGGACCGGGCTTGGGCCCACTTCCGTGGGCCAGGTTAGGGCTGTCATTAGAGTTTATTTATTATTATTAAGTTAATGCTATGTTTTACTTTGGGCCTATTATTAGTAGAGTACTTAATAGAGTTCTTATGGGCTTAATTAGGATTTAATTAATTTGGGCTTGATTAGGGTTTCTTTTCCATCATTTGCAATGGAGCCAAAGATTCATTATTTTTTGGCTTGAGATTATGATGGAATAAAGCAAAATGGCTCACTAAACTGTTTGCACTTCCTTGTTATGAAGCAGCAGTCAGTCCATGCAATTTTGGACGGGATTTTCACTATGGGTCATCCGGAAACAGTCTCTCTGTGCTTTAGTACAGGGGTAAGATTGCGTACATCCGACCCCCCCTTACCCCACCGTAGTTGGGAGCCTTTGCGGCACTGGGGTAAATGAAAATGAAAATGAATGGGCTTGATTAGGGTTTCTCTTAAAAGGCTATTTATACCCCTAACTAGGGTTCATTCTATCGTATCTCACTATCTTGGAATATAATTGGTTTAAGCCTTTTGGCTCTGGGCAACGGTATTTTTATAGTTGATTATCTGGGCAACGGTTTACCCCGTTGATTTTAGTTTTCTGTTACACAACAATTGATCTGACTTGCCGGATCCCATCCCGCCAGGATGATGAGATCTTAGATCGACCGCTTGATAGAGATGGTCGCCAAGCAAACTCGGAAGAATCAAACCCTAGAGGAGCACAGCATGCGTCTGGCAAAGATTGCCGCATCCCTGGCAGCGCTTACCAAGGCGCTAATTCCTCCGGTCACGACGGAAACAAGCCTAGACGCGGTTGGCAACCCCACCGTATCTGCGCACAGCAGCAACAGACAGCCGTGCAGCGTCACTTCCTCCTTGGCTGCGTTTACAGAGGCTCTCGCGCCGCCGGCGGTGGAGGAGCATTCAACGGCGGTGGCTTCACTTGACGCGGCAGCAGCATCCTCGTTCGGAATTGAACTGTGCAGCACCTTTCTCACGATGTTGCCCTCATTTAACGGAGAAGAACTGATCAGCTGGGTTGATAGGGCTGAGCAACAGTTCGAATTGAACTGTACTCCGCCGGGAAAGAAGGTGGCAGCCGTTGTAGTTGCGATGGAAGGGCCAGCCTTATATTGGTTGACCTGGTTACGGGCACGAAAGCCGGTCATGTCATGGGATGAGCTTACACAGGCATTGATGGCTCGTTTTGACTCCCGGTTTAAGGGAAATTGCTTTAAACGGCTGCCCGGAGGCAAGCAGACAGGGACTGGGGAGGAGTACATCTCAATTTTTCCTAAAGATACTGGGCAGCCCCCGGGGACAAATGTGAGCCAGTTTCCGGATTTCAACCTTGAGGACAAGTTTATTTTGAAGGAGGATGGATTGATAGAGAGCGGGAAGAGCATGGGGCGGGACCGGGCTTGGGCCCACTTCCGTGGGCCGGGTTAGGGCTGTCATTAGAGTTTATTTATTATTATTAAGTTAATGCTATGTTTTACTTTGGGCCTATTATTAGTAGAGTACTTAGTAGAGTTATTATGGGCTTAATTAGGATTTAATTAATTTGGGCTTGATTAGGGTTTCTCTTAGAAGGCTATTTATACCCCTTACTAGGGTTCATTCTATCGTATCTTGGAATAAAATTGATTTAAGCCTTTTGGCTCTGGGCAACGGTATTTTTATCGTTGATTATCTAGGCAACGGTTTACCCCGTTGATTTTAGTTTTCTGTTAGACAACAGTTTCATAAAATTGAATAACCTTGTAAAATATCTACAACCTTTTAGAAACAAAAAAATTTCTAAAACAATTAAAAAAGCATCAGAGCACGCTGACATAATTTTTTCCTTTTTGGTTGTTTGTATTTTTGTCACAAATTTGATGTAGGTGACTTTAATTGATTTGCCACATTACCACTACTGCAATTGTTGTTTGTAAAAATTATCTTTCCACAGGTGATTTAGGTTTTTTTTTCTGAAGCACACTAGTCTCTTTCTTTGACCCAAGTGCTTATGTTCCGGTTTATAACCCCAACCCAATCCAGAATTCTATCAAATTTAATCAAAGACAGAACTCCAATGTGTACAAAATAACTATAGAACTTGAAAAAACACGCTTTAGGATGTCTGATCTGGGACTGAAACTAGTCCAATTAAAAGCGTCCTTAATCAAGCAACATATGAATGTTTACTTTCTTCTATTTATGTCACTTGGCAGTACAAGTTTGAGTACAAGCACTTGCTCCACGTTATGAAGAAAGTAGTAGTCAATTACTCAATTCTGTTAAAAGTACATTATGTATGATGTAGTCCCAAGGGCTGTCAAACCATGGTAGCGCACCCCTTGATCAATCAGATGGCTGCCAAAGAAGCCGAGGGTGACCATGAGGAGAAAAACTCTATAGTTTTAGTATATCATCCAGCATGATCCCATGCAGCCAAAAAGGAAATTAGAGGGTAAAATATGTTACTGGTCCCAAAAAAGGCTGGCGGGCTGTAGGCTAGGACCTTGCACCTAAGCATCACTTGGGTGGGGATAGGTAGGGTCAGGTCTGAAAAAAATGTAGGCTGGAAAAGAAAGCCCAGCACCTTAGTCAGGATTTCAACTACAAGACTCCAAAGTTTTTTAGAATATAATAATGAGTGCCACAAATTTCATAAAGCAATCTTATTGTTTTTAATTGTTATACGGAGTAAGGATGTTTTTACTTGGACTGAAATTTGCTGGTCTGGTCTGGTCTGGTATGTTTAAGTCTGGACTGGTCTGAACTGGTCTGGTAAATGTCTGGTGTATTTTATAACTACGGAAGTCTGGTCTGAACTGGTCTGGTCTGTAGTCTGGTTTGGTATGGTCTGCGATTGAAAACAGTCCAAGTAAAAACATCCTAATAATCAATGATATAATTATGGCCCTCAATCCAAACATTGAGCCCATGTATCGTTCGAACTGTAGAGAAATTTATAAAGCAAAGTTCTAGCTATGCCAAAGACAGTAGTTAAGTACTTAATAATACATAACCATTACACATACAATCTATTTGCAAATGAAGAATGTAAAAAAGGGTGTTTCCTCAGGTCACCTTAGAATTTTGGTATTCCTCAAAATGACCAATGGGATACCCTCAAACAATTTCACAATATTATCTCAGGATATTGTGCAGGGTCACAATATCCTCAGGTCCCCTCGTAAAATCTCCAAGTGTATTTTAGAAAACCTCAGGGTAAATTTAAATAAGGTGCAGATTAGAGGGTAATTTAGAAAAATCACAAAAAGCTAAGGGTTACCCCAGGAAATTTCCCAAAAAGAATTACTCATTTCGTTGTGAAAGGAGGACCAATTCTAACCTCTCCAAATTTTGAATCTGAAGAAGAACTTGCCCCTGATTGCCTGCTCATCAAAGCAAAAAAATAGGACACAACAAAAACACAGGGAAACAAAATTGACATGACCCCGACAAAAAAGAATTGTGGCATTGAGCATGATGATACCTTGTATCAACACCTTTAATGAAAGTAGAGAACACTCTGCATTTTCCATCAGTTGATGTTGTGGCAAGGAAAACCTATTCAATGAAATTAAAATACTCAATTATCATCTATAAATTATTCCGGTAAAAAGACTCGTGCCATTAAAACCGCACTGGACTGCAGTTAAGGAGAAAAACAGTTGTATTTTCGTTAACTGTTGAAAAATGTGATCTCCAATGTTTAATTTGCCATAATACTGGGGCTAGACCTTAAAACCTGCGTAAAACACAGCTCAACTACTCCATATGTCCCACAGAAATAGGCAACATTTGACTTTTTTAGTCAATCATGTTCAATTTTGACCAGTGTTTTTTATCAATATATTGTGCTCAAATTTATCAATTTTGTAAAACAATTTTATGCTTTAGTACGACCCCCCTTACCCCACCGTTGGTGGGGGCCTTTGCGGCACTGAGGTAATGATGATGATGTAAAACAATTTTATATTTCTTCAATACAATAAATCATTTTGATATGAATACATTATTCGTCATATTTAAGCATGGCATGCCTTTCTGGGACAGAGGGAGTATGTGATAATGTGAATGGGAATTTTTGTTACGTGACGACAGCTACTGAAAACAAACAGAAGAGTAGCACACAAATTTTATGTCCTGAATTCCTAATGCATACTTCTAATCGCCAAATTCTATGTCATGAGACACATCAAGTCAACAACAGGAAGCTTACATTATTAGGATGCCAAGCAACATTAGTTACAGAAGAGTCATGTCTTTTCCGGATAAGCTTACTCACCCACCTGTGAAGGGGGAAGCATTATTCTTTAGGAACATATACAACAAGTTAATCATAGTATCATACAACATCAGCAGCAGCATCACTGCATCAACAACAACATTCAAGCCTTGGTCCCAGTCCCAAGGGATGGTCATTCCACAAAACAGTAAAATACTGACACAGTGACACTAATCATAAATTGATGAACAAGCAGTTGCCTACTAAATAATTTAGGAAAAATTGAAAATAATAATCCCAACTATTGCCGGTCCGCTAACAATAATCCCAACTATTGATTATTTTTGTATAATCCCAACTATATGGACCGTCCACCAATAATGGTCCATGACCGCATATTACCTGCTCTAACAACTGAATTTTTCATAGAAATTAAGCCTAAAAATTAAAATTTGGGATTATTTATAGAGATTACCTGCTATATCTCTTTAGAAACTATAGGAATTTATTTATAGTCGGTCACGTCGGACCATTATTGGTGGAAGGTCTCTAAAGTTGGGATTATTCTGAAATAATCGATAGTTGGGATTATTATGAGCGGACCGCCAATAGTTGGGATTATTACAATCAATTTTTCCAATAATTTAATACCTAGTTAAAAAGGAAGAACATTACCAGTTATTCTCTTGCTCATAGTAACATATGCAAACAGTTTTGGCCCCACTTCCAACTGCAAACTTGTTCTCTGCATGAAGTAAATAAAACGCCAATAGAATGGTCTTTTTTATTCCAAGTCATAGAGAAATTTCAAGCATGACAAGAAACTTATAGGATCCGTTTGGACCAAATGCTAGGTAAATAAAATATGAAGTAAAAGACAGGTGAAATTTGTATTGAAATATAATGTGGGGAGAAACAAAATTGGTTCGCTTAATATATATTATTTTTAGTATTTGTCCAAACTTGCCGACCCCAAAATCTTTTGGGAAAGGCTTGGATGTTGTTGTTGTATTCATTCAAGCTCGTTCATTCTTTATTTATCTCTGTTATATAAACACTAACAAATCTAACCATTGTATTTTTTTTTAAAGTGTTAATCATATTTCATTTTACTTCACTTTTCTTTGCATTTATATTCCTTTATCTAGTATGTTGCAGGATCCAAAGATACCATAAAGTATCAGCATTTATAATATTATGGCCTGGGAAAGCTTCAAGTGATACGTGCGGATTATGGGAGAGATGGATGGTTAGAGCTTTTGGTCCCAATAATAAAAAAATGTTTTGACTCAAGAGAATATTAAAGCTGCTTCAATATGACAATACCTTTAGGACTCCACTGCACACATAAAGCTGCACGATTTAGCCTAAGGATCACTAATGTCGCCACCCATTCTGTTGCTTCCAGGTTCCAAACATATCTGCAAAAGTGTTCTATTTTAGTATATAGTTAACAATAGACGTATAAATGAGGGTATACATTTGCAATACACAATTTTTATCGTTGTGTTTGCAAAACATAAAGCCTTTGTTTGGTAGACTATAGAAGAGAAGAAAGAAATGAAGAGGAGATAAACAGAAGAGAAATGATTGACTTGCCTTGTTTGGCTAACCACAAAATTAAAAAGTGGTAGGACAAACATCAAAACATTTCTCTCCTAATGTGAGAAGAAACGGGAGAGAAAGGAATCACCCCACGATTTTCACTCATTTCTTCTTTATTTCTCTCCTGCCCTACGTAGCACATAAATGTGGAACGAGAAACACAAACAGGGGGAAGTAGGAGAAACGTGTAACATTAAAAATATAAGGATATATTTATAATTATTAATATTTTTCATATACCTGCATACATTATTTTCATATATAAGTGTACATACTTTTTCCATATAACTTTGCTAAATAACTGATGATAGAAATAGTCTACATATTCAAATAAAGAAATTATTACATGTTAGTACATAATTAAATGCAACGAAATACATTTCTGGTAACAAATTGCGCTGTGAAGTACCAAAAAGACCATGTTGCTATGAAGAAATTACATAAAAATCAATTCAAAAATTCATAATCAACCACTAATTTCATCAAGAAATATTTTTAAAGACAAGGAAAAATTGAAACAGTGAAACACTAATTAATAAGGGAAACGGGTTTCCTTATTCTAATTAATTACGGAATCGGTCTCGAAACGGGAATTTGATGTTCCCGAGTTTCAAATGCGCTTCAGAGTTTCTGAAAACAGCGAAAACGCGAGCAGCAAGAAGTGCTTCTTAGCACCTACTAAACAACACACAAATATATTCAATTTCTCTCATCCCCATCTCTTTTGAACATATTGCTCTCTTCTAAAATGAAAACGGAAATTAGAATATCACTTACGAATTACGATCATGTGAAACGGTAACTATTTTGTTGGAACTTGTACTCCAGTCTATCCCTGAAACAATTTGATCATGCTGTCACATGAAGCAACAATAGAAACCAAAGATATTATCAGTAAAAGCAGCATGAGAAACAACCAAGCCTTATTTCCTAATCCCAACATTAACCAGTAGAAAATCTCTGCAGCCTATGATTGGAAGAATGAGTTAGAAAAAAACAGGAAACCGAGAATCAACCAAATTATAGGCAAAATGCATAGCAATAAAAGATGTCACTGAAATTATTACCTTTTGAAGAACATGAACCTTCTCCCATTTCTCTTCCATTGATCTATATATGTGTACTTCACTGTTGTTCGGGCAAAGGGCAATCACTAGAAACAAGGTATACATCCATTAGCAATTTTAAATTGTTTAAGTCTGCAATATTAATAGGAAAACGTCTACAAAAGCACAATAGCCAACTCACAGCAACGACATACGGAATATATGGAAACAATTAATGTTACAAAATTCGAAAAAGCAAGAAAAAATAAAGATACGGATGTACTGGAGCTGTCAGGACTCCAAGCATGGCAGGTGATGCATTGATCAAACTGATTTACTGATACCACAGCCATTGACTCTTTCAGCTGCGACAAATGACAATTATAATAAGCAATAGTTTATGGGGGATGGATCAGCAGCAATTGTAATTTACAGTAAAGCTTAAGACAATGGAGGATCCGAAACAGTGAATCGCAGAGGAGATCCAAACCTGCAACGAGAGATGTGATCTTTTCTGAATCAGAGATACCCAATGCCAAACATGTAATCTATTAATCCAATGTCAAGAATCAGCAGACGCTTGATCCAGAAGAAATGTAAAAAATATCAGAGACCTCAAAAATTGCACATTCAAATAATTCTTTACTTTTCACTAGGACTGCAAGTATTCCAGTACCGAACAGCTCCCGTCAAAAATTGCACATTCAAATAACCGGTATGGACAGAGCATACTCATTTTAAAATATAAGAATCAACCATACAAGGTCAATGATTATACCATTTCATGAATGAATTCTATTGACTTTTAAATTCATGTATAAGTTTATAGATTTTCAAAAAGTATATATAGACTTTGAAGTTCTTATCGTTATTGTCGGTCGTCAGAATTTTCACCTAAATCGCCGCAACCGATTTGTCTCTCCGCCTTCGTAATTAGAGTTCGTCGCCGTCATCATCACATTGATCTGTCACCAACAAAACGACTTTGATTATGCAAAGAAAATATGGACAATAAATAATATTAATTAATTAGATCAGGGGTAGAAATATAATATTTAGTCATGTTTAAGGAAAATCAAATATATGATCATATTTTGAAAAAAATACTGTGATTTTGGTCCTATCGCGAGTAATTTCTTATGTGTAATATGATAAAAAAATTAAATAAATGAATGAAACAAATGTAATTCGTCTAGCAACGCAGAGTTCTACAAGAATAAATGAAGCATAAGAATCCAAATTTATTTTTATTAAAACAAAACTCAAAGTTTTGAGAATGCTCAAATATTCCGGTCTGTTTTTTAAGCAAATAGCACACAATATTATTACATACGGAGTATTATTAGTGCTATTATGACATAACAATGACATAACTTGAATGCAAATGGAGAACCACGGTCTCGACTTTGAGTCCGGGCCCGAACCCGAACAAGACCCCCCACTCAAGCCCTTCACCCGTAGTGCTACGCCCATCTTCAGTCGAGGCCTTCCTCGTCTCATCCAAAATAAACAGCACACAAGCGCTGGACATATTCCCATACTCGCTCAACACTTGCCGGGTGCCCCGAAGTTTCTCGGGCTTCAAAGCCAACTTCAGCTCAACTTGGTCCAGAATCGTCGGCCCGCCCGGGTGGGCGACCCAGAACAGCGAGTTCCAATCTGTAATTCCCAGCGGTTGAAATGCTTCCTTCAAGCTCCTCTCTATGTTCTTCAATATCAGCCCAGGAACGTCTTTCGGCAAGTGGAACGTTAGCCCGACTTCCCGGAGGTGCCCATCGATGGCGCCGTGGCTGTCTGGCAGAATAGTTTGGGCCGCCGAGACCAACTCGAACAAGGGCCTTTCTAGGTCCGGAATTGGGTCAGATCCGATGATAATTGCGGCGGCCCACCAGACTGTCCAGATGCAAATCGTTTGGGCCTCGGAAAGTGACGACGGTGATTTCCGAGCAGAAGGCCAGAACCCGAGCGCCCTTGTTGTTCTCGGCGAGATCCTTGGCCAGCCGGAGAACCGTCCTGCCGGCCGCTCAAATTTTTCGGTCTATTTATTATCAATTGTTATATCATTCAACTCAACGAGTAAGAGCATTGATCGTTACACAAACGTTACAATCATTGCTACATGTGGTACAAGCATAGGTGCAATCGAACTTTTCTTCTTAAAATTTTGTATACTTATTTACGGTTAAATAATTGGTAATTTAAAATTATATTTTTATGTGCTAATGGTTCAACGATGAAACACAGTAATAGTTGATTTTTTCCTTAATAGTTAACTGACAACGTACCATAATTGCACCGATGTAATACTATCGATTCTTATATTGATTCTTCTAAAAACTTCTAGAACCACATCATTATGGGATTAACGGTTCTTCAGATATTTCCTAATTTTCTTTGAAGAACTAGACTGATCTCACCCCTACATTTTTTTCGTAAGGCGACATATAAAATATAACCATTTAATTTTTTAAGTTTATCTTGTGTATGATTAATGTAAAACTCCTTGTTCAACTGTATTTATCGTAAAATGATAAAAAAAACAAAATTTAATGTTCAATCTTGCATATTGAGACCGTCTTGGTACTCACCTCCCGACTTGGGCGGTAATAGTACAAGACTTGTTGGCCGGTTTGTGATCCTTGGCAAATAATTAGCCAAATCTGCAATCAGATCTATGCGTACTTGTGAATTGTGACTAGTAAAAGACAACAAAAAAGTCCACGGAAATCTTTGGTGAGGAGAAGAGATTATTGCAGAGAATTAATGTACTAAGAATGAGTTAAAAATCCATGAGAATCCATGATTTTAGAAGTCAATAAGAATGAATGAAAATTTGAATACGCCTAGACTTTTATAGACTTTTAAAAGTCTACATTGAATAGACTTAGACTTTTGTAGACTTTTAAAAGTCCACATTGAATACACCTAAACTTTTAAAATCCATGAACATTTAAAATTTTGCCACTAATTCCTAATACAACACACCCTCGTTAAAATAGACCATTTATCTTCGAGAAAATCGAACTTTTAGTCCTTGAAATAGTTACAATATTGAAATGTCAGATCTATGTTCCCTAGTTTGTAAATGGCATCCCTCAATTGCTCAAATTGTTTTAATTGTGGTTCTTTGAGGGGTGGAATGTACAATGTGAGCGAGGAGTATATTTCACCCTTTAAAGGATCACATTTACAGCAATCTAGACAATTGAGGGGTGACATTTACAATCTCAAAAATATGGGTCGATATATCAATATGGTGACTATTTCAGGGACTAAAAGTGTGATTTTCCTTTTATCTTCCAACAAACTTCATCTAGTCTAGAATTAAAGACGTCATAAGATCAAATTCTGAGACGGTCACCTCCAAAAAAGAAGCAGAAATCGCTTACTACCAAACAAACTGTTGGTCCAAAACAGGACGCTCGTAGGCTTTTAGGAAAGCTGCGTAAGAACACTCAAGCAGGAATTAGGAAAGTACGAATATGGAAAGTTGCAAAGGGAATTCAGTTACCAGAAATAGCTTATCTTCATTTGAAATTCGAATTGCCTTTTATAGGCGTATACAAATGGTAACTGCCAATTACAATAATGACTAATTAATTACAACATTAATACGTAATTTAATACATAAATAATAGCGCATTGATTGCCTTAGCCGTTACTATTCCTGGCTGGCTGGCCAGACGCTTGAACTCCCTCCTGCTGGACTGGGCGGTGGGCTCCCCCGCGGGGCTACAAAGCAGGCTCCCCGTCGGGCTGGAGGCAGGCTCCTGACTATGATGGAAGGCAGGCTCCCCGCCGGGCTAGAAGGCAGGCTCCCCGTCGGGCTGGAGGCAAGCTCCTGGCTGAGCTGGATGTCAGGCTCCCCGCTGGGCTGGATGGCAGGCTCCCCGGGCTGGATGGTAGGCTCCCCGGGCTGGAAGGCAGGCTCCCCGCTGGGCTGGAGGCAGGCTGCTGACTGGGTTGGAAGGCAGGCTCCCCACGGGGCTGGAGGCAGGTTGCTGACCGGGCTGGAAGGCAAGCTATCTTGGGCTTGCGCATCTTGATGGGCCTGATCGGTTGGGCCAGCTCGAGCTCTGGGTCGCTGGGGCTGGGCATGCTGGTCCAAGTTCAGGGCCTGGGCCAATTAGTCTCTGAGCCTAGTCCTGTACCCCCATCACGAGTCCCCCACTCCCTTAGTCGAGTAGTAGACTCGGCTAAGAGGGAGTAGTTTAAAAAATATTCACATTCCAGGGAGCCATAATTGTGGATTCTGTCAATCCCACAACTTATGGAGATTTCCAAATTTCAAATAAGGCTCCAAATTAATTTCCCTCGGTATCCTAGCATTCCAGCAGTCAGCATTCTCTCAAACTTCAGAATCCATGCCAGCTTCCAAAAATTCCTGAAATTCAATACTATTATTTCATAATTATTTTCGCACTTTATCTTTTTTTTCTTTTCTTTTCCTTTTTTTCTTTCCTTTTCTTTTCTTTCCTTTTCTTTCCTTTCTCTCCTTTTCTTTTTTCTCTCTCTCTTGGAATTTTGCGTGCGCCAGGCGCCCTCATGAAGCAGCTTCCGAGCCAGCGCTCTTCATGGCCGGCATCTTCTCTACATCAGCGCCGACACCACTAGGTCGGCAGCCAACCTTGAGATCGGGCCTGGTCGGAAACTCTCGGTTTCCAAGCGGCGGTTGATCCATATATCGACTGCCCGAATGGTCGACGGTGGAGAACCTAGGACGGCGGCGAACATTGACACCTTCATCGAGGTGATTTCCAGGCTTTGGTAACCTCTCAATAGCATCAAATCTTACAGATCCATGCCAGTACCCCTAAGGTCAGCATCCCCAAGTCGATGGTTGATTGCTGGCAGTCAACAATGATTGGGCGCCCCTCCAGTCTGGTAGACGAATTTAGCGTAGAGTGCCGCCGGGTGGACCTCTAGGCTGGTGGGCGAATCCAGTAAGCAACGGCTTCAGGCGGTAATGGACTCCAGGTGCTGATGGTTCTAGGCGACGACGGATTCTAGGTGGCCATGGATTCCAGGTCTGCGGCCGACGGATTTCTTCTCAGTTTGACGAATTAGCTCCGGCAACAGGACGTCAACCAACATCCTTCTGGCTTACAAACATCTTTCCAGGTGGGCCGCCCGTTGCAAGTGCAGGTGTCGGCCGGATTGAACTCTTATTTGTCTCATTTTGGACACATGAACCTCCTAGGTTGATGGAGGATGTAACTTGCAGTTTAAATTCGCCTTATATCCACTGTAGCAATTATTCCCATAGGCAGCCACGTGGTCAGGCAGCTGGGTGCCCCCCAGGTCAAATGGCATCGTCACCTTCATGGAAGCCGTCGGCCAGGCGACTAGACGGCCACGTGGTCAGGCGGCTGGGTGCCCCCCGGGTCAGATGGCATCGTCACCTTCATGGAAGCCGTCGGCCAGGCGGCTAGGAAACCCGGCAACCATGCGACCGAGGGTCGGGCGGTCATGCTGCCGGTTGGGCGGGCGGCCAGACTGGAGTCTCTATTCCCTGGGGTTCTGCGCTGTCCGACGGTCACCCCGGTGCTCTTCTTCCTCTGGGCGGCAAGGTTGTTGTCGTCATCCTCTTTTTTCCTTGCTTGGCAATGACGGAGACCACGCACGCGCACTTCAGGCCGACGACCAGGATTCAATTGTAACACCCCCATTTTTCCCGCCCAAAATAATACTTGAAATAATAATATATCGATAACAATCTTGATTTATTCCTTAAAAATAGATAGAGTTTTGCAGCGGAAATAACAGTAATGGAAAAATGGTGTGTTACCGCCACACCCAGCCCTCAACTTGGCTGGATGTTAAGGCTATCCACCATGAGTTCAACCGAATTAAAAACTTGAATTCAAAATATACTAGCATTATTTAATCTAAGTGAAGACTACACTAAATTCTTCTAAAGCGCTCTCCAGGTTCATCAAACATCATGAGCTTCGTATTCATCATTACCTGCACAAATAAAGTGCAGAAAACGAAACAAAGAAAAGGAAACAAAAATTAGCTTTAGAGCTAAGTAAGTACTACCCAACCCCGTAAAATAATCAAGTTTGACAAAAATAGTTTTTCATATAATACTATATATAAAAATACTCACACCACCGAAATTCTTTTCAAAACATTATTTATCAACAATCTCAAATACTCTTATAATTAAAAATAATATTTATAAGCTCCCAACAATTAATTAATATCTCAAAAGAAGTATCACTTTTCAAAAATAACTTTTGAAGCTAAAAATATCACCATTCCGAAATCAATGTCACTTTCAAATTCTTTTAAGATGGGCGAAACTCAAGATTCCTCGAGCCCAATGAATCGTTGTTGTGTACGACTCATCCCGGAATTCCGGCTCCCACCGACCACCAATTGGAAACTGAACTTCACCCTTAAGTGTGCACACCCCCTAAAAGGGATTCCAAGCCCTCCGAGTAGTAAGAAGTCCAAGTAGTTCGGACAACGTCCCCCTACCTCACAATGGGTTAGATACCCGGGTAATTAGAAACTACTACCGCGGCCACCAAAGAACTTTTAAAGTTCTCAAAAGAAATACCGGGAATCTCCCGCCACCAATATTTACCGGGATTTCTCCCGCCACCAATAATCATCTTAAACCTAAACTAAACCCGCGGTATATAGCTCTAACCACCCACACCTCGCGTTTCTCTCGAGATGTCAATAATTATTGAAAAATATTATTCCTTGAAAAATCATCTCTCTATATATAGTCTTACAGAATATCTATTTAATAGATACGTCCACCAAAAATTCACATTCATAAATACTCCAAAATTCCTTTATACTAAAACGCACTCCAAAGTCATACTAGGGATTAAATCCCAAAATATATCTCCAATATTTCTCAAATTCTTAGTCACCCCAAATAGTACACATTCAAAATTCACACTTAATCACATAATGCATAATAAGCATATAATACGAGGAAACAATTTTGGATTGGCAGAGAAACTTACCTTAAGTCCTGTTGCTCCTAGTTATCCTCCTCTAATCCGGTCTCTAAATAATCACCTTTTTAATTAAATATGATAAAATTAGTCACTTATTCTA